TGGGCCTAATTGGAATTTCGTCATGTTTAATGATGAAAATTCTTGTTTCATTCCTAGTGTCAGACTCCTTCCTAGTGTTCAGGCCTAGTGTCAGACTCGCGACGAACTTTGGTTTGAAGGGCATCTGAAAGACGAGCACGCTTGAATGCAGCTCAACCCCGTGTTCCGTTTCAAGGGGGAAGCATTATGGTATGTGCAGGTATAATGCACATGTGCATATATGCGTGGGGGCAGTGGAGGATGAATTTGTTTACATGGACGATAATGCTCATCCCCATCGCATTTTAGCGGTTCGGGAATTTTGTGAGGAAGAGGGTATAAGAAAACTGTGGTAGCCACCGATGTCTACAGATATGAATGTGATCGAGCATGCTTGGGACATGCTAAAACGCCATATTGCCAAAAGGAATGATATACCCCCCGTACCTTAAATGAATTGAAAATTGCTGCGCGAACCAGGGGAAGCCTCAACATCTTCTGGACAACTTAATTGAGAGCATGCCACGTCGTCTCACAGGTTGCATTAAGGCTCGAGGAGGCAATACAGACTATTAGTTGTGAGAAATAATAAAAATTGTTTTCAATATTTTCTGTTTAAAATGAAATTTGTTTTTGTTGATCTCATTATGAAATAAAATTATAATAACAGCCTAGTTGCACTTAGATTTTTAATTTTGTATTAGGTAGTCGTGTTAGTCGTGTAGTAAGCCAATATGTCCAAAAATATAAAAAGAATCATATTAGGTCCAAAATAATATAAAAATATCGTTATATGCAATAATTTTGTCCATGTGTGTAAGTCCCAGAAGCTAAAAACTTTTTTGCATGTAGTCTAGGTCCAAGAAGTTGAGCAGATTCTTTAGAAAGGCATAGGTCTCTTATCAAATCATTTAATTCGCTTTGTGTAAATTTCTGCGGCTGATTCGAATTTGGTTCGAAATTTTTTGACTTCTGACGCTGTATATTTGGTTCTGACGATGTTGAACTAAGATGAGATATTAAATTTGGAAGTGATATTGGAATTTCTGGACCATATGGGATGCGGGATCGGACCTGTAGCTGAGATTATACTTTTTGATTTGTATTTGTATTTAATTATACCGGGTGCATCTCAAAAGTGGCCCACCCCTATAACTTTTTTATATTTTCAGATAAAAAAAACGAGATTTGGTATGTTATATAAAATAAATAAATTATAATTGATTGACGGTATTCAGTTGTTTTTTTTTTTCCTGTTTCACCGTAAGTGACATTTGATTTTTAAATGGCATCCTCGGTTTTTTTACTTTATTTGATAGAAAATGATACTCTGAATAAAATGGCATAATATGTCAACTTTTGACATTTTCTTATATGGTTTATTTGTTATTTAAACATACGGTTCCTAACGACAATTTGACTGGAGATATCAAGTGTATGGTACCAAATTATTTGCAAAAAAATGCAGGACAAGACACGAAAAACATTAGACAATCAAATCGATTTTTTCAAGGCTCATCAAGGAGATTAAAAGTTAGTGCTTTAGCACGGCCATATGACATTCTAGATGGAAATTTAAAATACGATTTTTTAAAGCGAAAATGTCAAAAGCTAACGTTTCATATGTCATTCTTCAGAGGGGATGTCATTTAAAAATCAAAAGTTGTAGTTGTATTTGCGATAAAATAGGAAGTGACCAAAAACAATTGAATACGTCAATCAATCCTAATTTATGTCATATACTAAGATACCATATCCCGCTTTTTATCTGAAATAATAAAAAAGTTATAGGCGTGTTTAAGAAAAGAAAATGGGTCAAGACAAGCGGAGATACGTTTTTAAGAAATAAAAGTAGGTCAAGACACACGGAAATAAGCCGAGACGAGACAAAGTTAGACGAGGAAACACAACCTTGACCTTCATTCTTTCCGCATAGTGTAGTGGGTGTATAACACTTCTGGTAGTACAGGAGGTGTAAGAGAGTAAACATTATTTGAAACTTGAACTAGAAAGAATATCTAGAAATTATCTAAACTTTTAATAAACCATTTGCGTAACAAACCTTGTATACCTAAAGGTCTAGTCTAAACCGTTGCAAAATGCAAATAAGAAATTATTACCGTTAAAATTAAACTCGAAAATGATTTGTCATTAGACAATACCCGATAAAAACATATTACGCATGCATGTAGGTTAAAGTTTCCACGTGGATATTGAAATGGAACACGTTTTCCACCTGGATATTGAAATGGAAACGTTTAACTCAATTAGAGGTGGATAACAGGCCTCCATTTCAACACGGCTAGATTTTCGAAAATAGCATTCGATGCAACAGATAGCAGTAGAATCGAAACTCATGCGCCCTGTCCATATATCGGAAATGAATTATCAATAAAAACGGTAACGCGCCGCTCCTGGACATTACGCAATCTAATTTTGAGTTCTATCCAGTTATATGGACACGAATTTCTAAAAGAGTTCTCCAATAGAGGGCTGTTAAAAATGCGCTTGGTACAAATCAGAGTTCATTACAATTTTATCAGTTTATCACTTTTTTAAATTTGACTCGAGGGGGAAATCAGTGGGTTATTTTAGTGTAAGGGAAGTGTAAGGGCATTTCACGGTATTATTTTGAAGTATTTCTTGGAATTTTCGGGTATTTCAAGGGAATTTCGCAGACTTTTAAGGGTATCGCATAATATTTTATAAAATCCCTTTATAATTTTGACAATTTGGCAAACGCGCATATTAAGCGAAAAGTCAAAATGCGGTGTAGCTGATTTTAGTGTCATTTAAATAGTGTCATTTGCAAGAAAATTTTAAGAAAAAGTACTACCTTTAATTAAAGAAATAAGATGTCAACCTTATGGGCAATTTCGCGGCACAAAACCTGTCCGAGAAGTAACTGGCGTTACCGTCAGCCTGTCTGAGAATTCCGAGATTTAGTTTAGTTCTGCGCCGCTGCGCTGCACGCTGATAATAATCGTTTACAGCGCAGCGGATAAAGATTACAGTACCGCAGTTCTGCTTTCAGACGCCAGATTGAGTTGGTTGCCGGAGATAGTGTTTCTAGAACTACTGACTAATCAGTAGGTTTACGGATTTTGGGTACAGTACGTTAATGATACAGATTTTCTATCATTAAACAACTTAATAAAATATTAAGCCAACTAAACGACTTTTTTCGATCATACGACATATTCAGTACCTATAAAACAATCTTTATTTTTATTGTTTATTCTATGTTGAACACGAATAAATTTTCAACACATAAACGCGAATTATTCATCCAAAGTAATTTTGTCAAACGTATTACAGATAGTATACATTTATATACAGAATATGGCCACACTGTCGCTTTCAGATCCACACCGTCTTCGATATGTCTTTGCTGGCCGAATTAGAGAAAATAAGTGTTTTGTGCGTTGACCGCAAAGCAATTGGTGTCTCCACCGTACAGCATTTGAGACGTAAGGGGAAATCAAATCAGCCTTGTCACAAATTCGCCCATTAGGTTGCGTATCTTCCCAATTCTTTCAATCAACGGTACTATCCAAGGATACTATAGAGATAAGGATAGTTCGATCCCTATACTTCCTATAGGCTTGGTGCATTCTCCGCCGGTGCTGCCACCATCGCAGAATATCGTAAACAATCGATATATACAAATACACAGGTTTAAATAGCGAGGATACGAAAATTTTATTATTTAATTATTCTAAAAGTGTTATGAAGTATAATTTGTGAAAATTCTAGGAATAAAAATAAAAAGTAAATATTTTGATATCTTCAGAAGGTCTAACTTGTATTATAATTTATTATTCCAATAAAGAAACTTTTTAAATGAGTTCAACTACGGCAGCGAGCATAGTTTTAAATCACCGGTTTTGCTAGTGAGGCATAATTGGGGCTATAACGAAAATTTTTGAAGGTACATAATTATAGTTTTAGAAGATGTTCATAAGGCATTTAATCACTAATTGATTAAAAAAATTATACCATTAATATCGCAAATTATATTTTATCGTCTCATACTATACATCCACAGTATCTCATCACATCATATCTCTATTACACTTTTTGATTATGTAACGAGCACTCTGTTACTCACTTGTTTCGTCCAACTGCATTCATTTTTGCTTTTGATCAAATCGGTGTGAGAAATGATGAAGCTATAAATCCATGTGGCTTTTGATACAGTTTTCATGATCTGCTTATGATAATAAGCTGGTTAACGAAACGCGCGTTCAGTGTTAAAAGTAAAGTGTAAAAATAAAATGTTTTTTTATACTTGTGTATACTATGTTATATTTTAAAGCATTTTGGTGTATTGTGGGAAATTAGTGTTTTATTTTGCCAAAAACATACACACATAAAATTTTACATTTAAGAAAAAAGGTTGCACCATTGCTGTCCCGATTTTCAAATACAAAAGGGAACAACCATGTTTCCGACATACCCATAGAGAACATTCTAGGAAACTCACCCTTCATAAAATGATAAATTTGGAGACATTTTGATGCCAAAAGTTCAACAGAAATTGTTTTTTCTGTGTAATTTTTATTTACTCGCATATTAACGCAATTTTTTTTAAAAAGAATGCATTTTTTTAAATATTAACAATAAAATAAAAATAGTTTGGGTACCTACGTCGACTCAGCCATAAATGAGTACTTGGGATTCACAATTCTGAGGTAATAATAGGCGGTTGAAGCGTAGTGCTAGCCACTTTACCTTCCTTGTATACCAAACGGCTCTAGTATAGCAAGCTGTACCTTGCTACTCCCAAAGGCGTTAAACGCTATATACGGGAGCTATTATTATAACAATAAAATATTATTTATTTTTATTGTAAAGACGATCCGGGAACATACTGTATGTTAAAATAGGTACCCTTGTGTGTCAAGTTGTTTTTCTTAAACTATATCACAAAAATAATTATCAATATTTACAGTGATATTAAGAAATTTTAAATATATGTATAATGTTTAATAGCTAATGGGTTTTTAAGTTTTTTTTACCTGAAACTAGCGGTGTGCTATTGGAGGATTCGTAGCCATCATCCAGTGTAGAGGTAGGCGTTGAATGGATCGTAGTGACTTTTTTCAAGTCTTCTTCACTCTTTCCAGCTCTAATCGTCTCATCACTTCCAAAGTTTTCTGTAGAGACTCCATTTTGACCTGAAAAAATATACAAAATATTTTAGAACAAAATATAGTAGACTAAATCTTAATTAATCGAAGAAGTTTTTCAACAAATATCTCAATTTTACTTCAAATTACTGAAATTTGCATTTAAAATCTGCACCTACACTGTTGTATTAACTTTTTTTAACAACGGGAAGCTAAAAAATTGCCTGTTATTAAATTTCTTCTTCAATCGTGTCGGTTAGGATTATCTAATAGAATTCTGAAGTGTACCTGTTGCTTCTTATAAATTTAAAATGCTAATACTTCTTTTACTTAAAGCGTATTGATATTTTAATTTTAAATTGGTGTTCGAAATAAATTTTAATAGTTTCTTTTTTTCGAAATTCTATATCCGTACTAATCGTTTGAAACAACCAAGTACATTACAGTATACAGGGTCCGCCAACAGCATCTGTAGCTCCTAGAATAAAAAAAACTTGGGAATTTTGTTTAAGTGCAAACCTAAAGTATGTACTCCGATGTATTTGAAGAAAATATTTTAACTTCTATAGGGTAGCTCAAAAAAAGTGTGAGTGGATCGGGATGTTTTTTTTTAAATGGAACATTTCATTGCAATTTTGCTTCCTTTCAGATCACTTTACATAATCCTAAGATATGAGTCACATTTCCATAGTTTCCATAAGTAAAATGAACGTCAGAAAAGATCAGGCGAATAGCCAAAAAGTATAACATTGAAACTGTCTTCAAATCGGAATCGACTCTAAAGCAAACCATACATTATCAAACAAATTGCGCAACAAAGCGATGCGCAACGTTGCGTTGCACAACTGATTCAGCGGTCTATACACTATCAAACAAGTTGCACAACAAGCAATGCGCAACGTTCCGTTGCACAACTGCATCACCCATGCACTTAGTAAAATTTTGATGGAACTTTTTCTTAAAAGTTGTGCATTGTTTGATAAATAATCATGTCCTCAATTTCCATTGCGTTAATTATTATCCTATATACCCTAGATGATGTTAATGATCCAAAAACGAAAAAGAAAACAAAGAATTTGGATGAAAGAACTAAAAGATCTGAAATATTTCATAACGAAGCGCAAGACACACATACACTACACAACGCGTTGCGCAAACGCCTGTTGCACAAAATAAATCAAACATTCTTGAAACTTATCAAACAATTGCGGCACAAAATAAATCAAACATTCTTGAAACTTATCAAACAATTGCGTAACGCATCAAACGTTACCATACATTGGCAACTCGTTGCGCAACAGCCTGTGTTGCGCAATTTGTTTGATAATGTATGGGCCGCTTTAGAAACGTCCTAACACAAACAAGGCCGGAATCATTGAAACGAGAGAAAGAGTGCATCTACCAGGTACCTTGTAAATTCGGTGTGTCGTATATTGAAGAGACTAAACGTCCTCTAAATGTACGACTTAGTGAGCACAAAAAACATGTACAAAAAGATGGAACTATGAAGTCAGGTATTGCGGGCCATGTTTGGTCAAAACAGCACAATATTACGTGGTCGGAAGCTCGGGTTATCCACAGGAAACCTCGTTGAGAAGCCGGTTTTATAGAAAGAAATTATAATAATTTTAGCAATTCTAGTACCAAAATACCTACGATATCGCAACCACTGATAAAACGCTCCAATGCAGGCATTCTATGTGGACAACCTCACTGTGAACTCTACCCAACTTTTTCACGGGTGAATGCCTGACTGCAGTATAAAAGCTCAGCAATTTTAGGAATTAGTTTAGTTTACACTTGATAACGGTCAGTGATCCTTCTGATCGAAACGTTGTGTTAATCAAAATAAATAAAGACAGTAGATGTCCGAAATCCTTTCATTTTCAATACTGAATCACTGTTTACCACATTCAAAGAAACACGAAAAATATTAGACGATCAAATATATTCTTCCAAAGCTCCTTGATTAAACATTAATGGTTTTAAGACAGCCATGGCACTGTAGATTGGAGTTTAAAATGATATTTTTTTTTAATTGGAAATGTCAAAAGTTGACATATGGTATGTCATTTTCTATCATATAAATTATAAAAATATCGAAAGTACCACTTAAAAATCAAAAATTGAACTGCATACGTCAATCCATCCAGAATTTATGTCACATTTTTTTTACCTTACAGATCTATTGTGTCCCCCTTTCTTGAGTTATAACTCATCATACAGTTCCAGGGCTTTGACAAAAGCCAGTATCTGGGACGGTTTTACAGAGGGCAGCTCTCCATCTCCAAACCAAACACAAACAAGGCCGGAATCATTGAAACGAGAGAAAGAGTGCATCTACCAGGTACCTTGTAAATTCGGTGTGTCGTATATTGAAGAGACTAAACGTCCTCTAAATGTACGACTTAGTGAGCACAAAAAACATGTACAAAAAGATGGAACTATGAAGTCAGGTATTGCGGGCCATGTTTGGTCAAAACAGCACAATATTACGTGGTCGGAAGCTCGGGTTATCCACAGGAAACCTCGTTGAGAAGCCGGTTTTATAGAAAGAAATTATAATAATTTTAGCAATTCTAGTACCAAAATACCTACGATATCGCAACCACTGATAAAACGCTCCAATGCAGGCATTCTATGTGGACAACCTCACTGTGAACTCTACCCAACTTTTTCACGGGTGAATGCCTGATTGCAGTATAAAAGCTCAGCAATTTAGGAATTAGTTTAGTTTACACTTGATAACGGTCAGTGATCCTTCTGATCGAAACGTTGTGTTAATCAAAATAAATAAAGACAGTAGATGTCCGAAATTCTTTCATTTTCAATACTGAATCATTGTTTACCACATTCAAAGAAACACGAAAAATATTAGACGATCAAATATATTCTTCCAAAGCTCCTTGATTAAACATTAATGGTTTTAACACAGCCATGCCACTCTAGATTGGAGTTTAAAATTATATTTTTTTTAATTGGAAATGTCAAAAGTTGACATATGTCAGAATCCAGAATGTCATTTTCTATCATATAAATTATAAAAATATCGAAAGTACCACTTAAAAATCAAATATTGAACTGCATACGTCAATCCATCCAGAATTTCAAGAAAAGGGGACACAGATCTATTGTGGGCCCTTTTCTTGAGTTATAACTCATCATACAGTTCCAGGGCTTTGGCAAAAGCCAGTATCTGGGACGGTTTTACAGAGGGTAGCTCTCCATCTCCAAAATCAGTCTTACCAAAGAAAATGGTACAGCTGGTTGTCGTCTCGGCGCACTCAGTGATGAGGTGTTCTGGTGTTTCCCCATTTTCCACACAGAATCTACATTCGCCGTTTCTTTTTAGTTTCAATCTACTGAGGTGTTCATTGAGGAGACATTCTCCTGTTAAAAACCCCGTGACAATCCGAAGATTGCTCTTTCTTAAATCCAGGAAGTTCCAGGATTTTTCTTGGTCGTAAGCCCTCAGAAACTTCTTCGAGTGTCTTAGACCGTTGCAAGATTCCCATTCCAGGTTGCGGATGGAGTCTTCCAAGTTCTTGACTTCCGCTTTTGGTTGGTTACCACTTGGGAAGCAGAACGGTTGTGGGCCAGTTAGTGGAGTGTTCGCTCCTTTTCTAGTAGATCATTTGCTTTGTCATTGCCTTCTATCCCTTGGTGAGCAGGCACCCAGAGTAGGAGGACTTTGTTTTCTTTGCCTAATTGATTCAGCTTCTCTATGCGTTCTTTGACCAATTTTGAATTGATTGATACTGAGTTGATCGCTTTTAACGCCGCTTGACTATCAGATGAGTTGGCTTTCTTGTTTCCGATAGTTCCAATCTAAGATAAGTTGTACGCATCTTTCGATAAAAAATTTGAAAAATTAAATTTATAAGGGTGAACCACTTTTGAAAAACACCCGGTTTACTCTGTATAGAAGACTTTATGTACGATACATCTTCCGAAAGACAGTCTATAAGGTGAGCGATAATGGGCTATATCATGCCCTAATAAGGCAAGGCATAAATTTTTAATGTCGAATAGGAGACCACTTGTTTATAGACCCATTATAGACCGGAGATAGGAGCGAAACTTACACCAACATCACTTTATATATTTTTCTTGTTTCCCGCTAAAACAAACTTTAGCAAGAAGCTTTTTAAGAAAATCTTATAGTTACAGACTCCCTTGTACTTCAATTTTTGTTTTTTTTCGTATTTTTACAAATATTTATACAAGATTATGTACAAAAAAATATATCAAACAAAATATATTTCGTTTTTTACTATCAAGTAAAGAGTAATACTACTCTTTGTACCATCTTAAGGAGTTTGGTTCTTAAGATATTCGATTAGAAATACTCAAGTATTTTTCTAATATGCATGGTATATACAGGGTGTCCCAATATTCCGTGGACTTAGCTACGTATTTTTGAAATCAAAATAAGTTCATTGGATACAATTTACCAATTTTTTCTTCGTTTGTCCGCTGGAGTGCATCATACTTTAAAAAAATAAACACATCTTTTCAGCTATTTTAAGAACCCTTATTTCGATTTGAATGAGATTTTGGGTGTCTATGTTTTGCCACATGCTTTGATATTTTACTTGCTCACAAAAAATAAGAAAAAAATACGAGAAGGGTAAAATCTACACCCACCCCTACATAAATTTTAGTAGAAATATTTTTCAACTCCACCGATGACAGATTTTTTTCGTATAATGGTCCCTCTAGTATTTACTACATTTTTTGTCTCTTGTAAAGAACGGTACATTCCATTTTTTTTACCCTACAAAATATATAGGAGTTTCAATATTCCGTGAACACAGAACAACTACGTATTTTTTGAACCAAAATAAGTTAATTGCACATAATTTACCTCTATACAAAAGTGCTTCGTTTGTCCCTTAGGTCAAAATCAACATCAATCAAAAATACAACATCAATCAAAAATAAACCCGAACGTTAATTAATTTAAAATTTATTAATTTAAACTTTTTATGAAGCTTGTTGTTAAATATAGTTTGTCATACTAACATAAAATTCCATATTTTTGCCAA